CATCACCACCATGCTATCATCAGCCAGCTAAGGAAAAGCCATGGCCCTGCTCCACCCCATGCCGTCCTCAGCCCCACCAACGCCCTCCCGCCTCAGCTCCGCTCCTGCAGCCTGGCAGAGGATACGTGACGGCCATGCGGACGCCGGAGAGCTCCTCCACCTGGTAGAGGACGTAGAGCAGGCCAAAACCGAACACTCCCATGATGTGCGTGGTGAGCGACAACAAGAAGAGGAAGAAGTAACGGTAATTGCGCCGCCCGATGCAGTTGTTGACCCAGGGACAGTGATGGTCAAACTCCTGTTGGTGGGGAGAAGAGACGGTGAGGGGCTCGGTGGCCTGCACCAGGTTAAATCTACATAGAAACGAAGAGGCACCAAGACCTGGCAGTTCCTCACCTCCACACAGTTGTCGCAGACGCTGCAGTGGGAGCAGCGCGGCGGCCGGTAGAAGCGGCAGGTTGCGCACCACTTCATGCGCACCTGAATGCCCTTGATCTCCACCGTCTTGTAGAGCGGAGCTCGGAAGTCGTCCTCCTTGTCCTCGTCCTCCTCAGCTGATGGGAAAGCCCAGCGCAGCCATGTGTCAGGGTGTGAGGGGAGGCAACGCTGGGGCCCAGCTGCCCTCCCGCCCCGGGGGTGCCCAGCGTCGCCCTTCTCTGTCACCATCTTGCCATGCACAGGGACCAGCCTGGGACCCCCAAATACAGGTCGAGGAGTGGGGGGGGCTCTCCCAGGCCCTGCCCTGTAAACAGGACAGCCGCCTGAACTGCAGGTACCCAATACGGGGTGCAGGACTTATGCTGCTTCCCCAACCTGGTCCTGCAGGCTGGACCCGGGGCTACTGTCCCCATGGTGTCCCCACCTGGGCAGGGTGAGGAGGGCTCTCCTCGAGCCTCGTGGGGTCAGTGGATCCTCTACCTCAGAGGAAGGGTGGAAGGAGGTAGCTGTACCCCAGACACTTTCCAAGCAGAGCCAGACTCACCTCGTGGGAATATGCCTGGGTCCATGAAGGTGGCCATGCTGAAGTTGGCCAGCACGAAGAGGAAGACAATGGCATTGTAGACAGGAATGACTGGGGAGACGTACAGACTGAGCCCTGGGCACCTGCGGGCATGGGACAGTGAGACACGCCAGCCCCCTTCCACAGGCCACCGCTCCATGCTGCCCCCCACATCACCCCCCATGGGTGTCACCAGGCTCTGACGGAGCCCTTGGGGTGAGCAAGGGCCAAGCAGGTGCTGACCTCCCCCCCCCTTGAGCCCCATAGCTAGTCCCGCAAGCCGTTCCTGCCGTGCTTGATGGTGGCCTGGCTAGGACGTCCACGTTGCTCGCTCTCGGGCTGTATTTCCAGGCTTCTGCCCAGGCAGGCAGCTGTGGAGGCTCCCTGCCACCAATTCTTCCTTTTGCTCCCACCTAGGGCCCTCCACACCTAAACCGGGGCTGCGCCCAGGCTAGCCTGACCTCGGGAGTGCTCAGCCCCCCTCTGCAGACCAGCCTAACCCAGCCCCAGGGGAGCGCTCGCGGGGGGCTGGTGCGGGGAGCGCTCCGGTAAACCAGAGAGCAAACCCACCGCCCACCTCTCGCACCTACAGCCCCATGGGTGCTGCTAGCGCGGGACCCTACCGCCACGGGGACCCTGTCACCGCCCTGCTCCTCCGAGGGGCCCCGGGGGGGCACAGCGGGGGAATCGCCACCGGGTGGGCAGGCTCAGGGCAGCGGGCTTCCCCCTCAGAGGCGCCAGCGTAATACCCTAATCTGCTTTGCTGCTGGGATTTTAATCCCGCAGATCTAGGGCAGCATCTGTCCCTCTCTTCCCCCCGCAGCGGTAAGTGCAGATGGATTTAGGCAGCCAGGGCAGGGAGGGGCAGAGCACAGGGCAGGGTGACGTGTGGTGCCAGCGCTGCCAGTGCCCACGGCCCCGAGCAGGTAGAGGCGAAGGGGCAGGTGCCCTCCTGTCCCCTCCTCTGCCACTACCCACTGTGACGCAGCCAGGGGATGGGGCGAGGCCCCCCCGCCCCTGTCCTTGTCACTGCAGCCCTCAGAGTCTGCTCTGACAGGGAACAAACCCTTGGCCCAGGGCTCTGCCCCCAGTTCAGCCCAGTCCGTGGGGCAGAGTGAGGGGACAGGGATAGGGGTGGTGGCAGGTGGAGGAGCTGCCGCCAAGCAAGCGGCGGGTGGGAGAGAAGCCAGGTCTGGGCTGGAGGAGCGGGCACACCAGCAGCAGAGGGAGAGGCAGGCATGGCTCCATGCCCCGGCCCTTCCTGCACCTGGAGAGGGCAGGAGGCAGCAGCAGTACCTGCCCTCCGCTGGACAAGGACACAGCCATCCCCGTCCAGAGGAGAACGGGAGGACAAACCCCCTCGACTTTACAAGACCTCCTCCTCACACCTCCACCCTCAGCAGCCCCTCCAGGCACCGACCCCTCACACCAGATCAGGGTTGCACCTGCAAACTTCACTAAAACCTCTTCCGCACCCTACCCCATCCCTCCACGCTGCCCAGGAGCCCCTGCGTGCCTCGCCCTCCTGGCACCTTGGGCGATAACTTCCCACCTCTACCTATCTAGGGCAGCATCTCTCGGCGTTTCACCAAGAGCTCCCCTCGGGGGCCGGGAGCGGCTCCTTGACAACTCCGCGCAGCACCAGCCATGCCGGCTCTGCCTCCGGAGGTAGCCGGTCCCCACTGGAAGCCGGCCAGGCGGATCCTCTGCAGCACACAGCCAGAATGGGCCCTCTCCAATCTGTGCCCTGAAACCCTCAGAGAGCAGCTTGGAGAGGAACATGGCATACGTGACGAGGCCAAGACCTGAGCAAGGGAAGAACACAGTAGCCACGTCGAGCCCAGCATGACCAGCACCGCTGGAAGCCACGCCAGGAGCGCGGAGCTCACACGGAGCCCGGCTTCCCCTTACCCTGCCACAGCCGGGCTGTGCCCATAGAACAGCACCAGCAAGAAACGTTCAGTGGTTTGAATGGTTGGCAGAAAACGAAGGCAAGAAAGTATCTGTCTCACAGAGGGCAAACGTATTTGCGGTGGGGCAGGCTGGCAGGGCAGGCATCACCCAAAGCAGAACTGGGCAAGGGGCAACCGCCCGCTCCTCGCGGCTCCCAATGCCGGGGTGTCGCAGCAGTGCGGTTTCAAGGTCCTCGAGGGTCCCCACAGGGCTGCTCTCTGCCCTCCTGGCATGGCACAGCCCTTTGGAGGGGTGTTTCTCTCCTCTCCCGCCCTGAGCACTGGACGTGGGCAGCGCCAAGGGGAAGGTGGCCGCTCATAATGTCACTGTGCTCTAGGGAGGGCAGAGCCAAGCGCCCCATGTCACTGAGCCAAGCACCCCGATGCCAGCAGCCTCCCCAGCTCCACTCTCAGCCCCACTCATATGAGCAGCAGAGAAAAGACTGTCAGAGGAAAAGGGGCAGGAGATGAGCCCTGAGGGTAGGAAAAGCCCTTCCAGAAACCCCGAGCAAGGAGCTCCTCTCTCTAGGAAGGGAAATGCCAGCCCAAATCTTTGCTTGAAAGGGATGAAGGGGAGCCAGGGCGACCCACGGCATGCCAGCCATCCCTGCGCAAGGGAAATGCCAACAGCAAGGCTGAGCCAAACGGGCAGCCCAGGTCCTCAAAAGACACACCCTGGCAAGGCAGGGGAAAGACTGCGCTGCCTCAGTGAAGGCCAATGCAGAGGAAAAGCTCTGGGGCAGGCAGAGAGGGAAGGACTGGCCTTCAGTGGGGAAGGGAACACCTCTCCCATCACCTCCCAGGAGGGAGAAGCACAGCTCCCAGGGCAGTTCCCTGGCGTGGGACAGACCGACCCTTCAGCCCCAGACACCTTAGCACTGAGGAGGACGCAGCCACGGCCCTGACAGGGCAACGAGCGATGAGAGAGGATCAAACGGAGGAGACCTGGATCCCCTGCCAGGGCAGCTCTGCTCTGGGCCGCATGTTCAGCCACAGGCCGCGCAGCCACCAAGCCCAGACTCCAGGGTGGCTGCAAACCCTGCGGCCAGACCCCAATTGCTCTGAGTGCCAACCTGCCAGCCGGACGCCACAGGGGGATGAAAGATCAAACTTGGGCCTTCAGAAAGGAGATCTGATGGGAGAAGCTGATGTGGTGCCTCGGGGCCACCTTACAACCCCCATCCCTACCAGGTCTTGCTAGCTGTGTGCCACTGGCCAGGCGGGCTGCTCCGCACCGGGCCAACTTCACACCCTCCACAACCGGCCGGGGATGCAAAGCCACCCCAGGGTGGGATTTCATGGGCCAGAGCAAGCAGAACGCCCTCCCCAGGGACCACAGGACCCGCAGCTTACAAGGATGGCCCCAGGGTCGCAAGCACAATGCCAGGGGTCTCCCAAACATGGCAGCTCACTGCCTGCTCTGCTCCCAGGGACCCCACCGTGCTGTGGGAGGGAAGCAGGAATCCTCACGACACACAAACCATACGTTACTTGAACCAAACCACTCGCTGGCATCCATGGCCCCAAAGCCAGGGGAGTTGCCTCCACGAGATCAGCCCCACCCCACGGGAGGGAACACAGGGAGCAAAGGTGGCTGCCGAGCCCCGAGGGGACACCTCCTTATCAGAAGCACCGACATGCTCCTGCCTTTTGCTCTCACAGATGGAGAGCACAGGGTTCCGGAGCACAGGGTTCCCAGGGGCAGCCAGTCATCTGCAGAGGAGGAGGAAGAGGAAGGCTGCTCGCCATCGTGGCCATGCAGGTCCCAGGGAGAGAACTCACCAGGTTCCCTCTCCAGATCGGGATGCCGAGCACGCCCATCACTAGGAGAGCTGTCGAGACTTGTCTCTGGCAGCACATGAGAGAAATCGGGGAACCTCGGGCAAACTGAGTCACATCTGGATCCGAGACGAGCTGCTTGCCACTAGTCATACCAGAAGAAGCCCGTCACTCCCCAACCTGACTTCCCCTGCCCTCCACAGGCTCGGAGCCACCCGCAGCCCCTTGTCCCCTGCCCTCTCCCTGGAGAAAGCCGCCCCAGCCCGCCTGCACCCCTGGACTCCGACCTGAGGCCGTGCCAGGGCCAAGCTCACCTCGCCAACCTCGCAGCCCCTCCAGCTCTCTCTGGCCACGCTGCGCACACAACCCCCGCTCACCACCACAGGTCTGGGTCCAGCCAGAGGCACCACGGCCTGCAGGGACGGCTGCCTCCCGCCCCAGCGTCCCATCCTCACCTCCCTGTCCTCTCCCCCGCCAGCACTGGGGGAAGTGAGAGCTCCTTCCCCAGACAGCTTTCCCAGGTGCAAGGATGGCAGGACAAGTCAGGGACAGAGGTTTTACAGACAGATTCACCCAACTGCAAGAAAGTTTATACGTTGCAGGCTTTTATACAGCCCCAAAAGCCACGTGGAGCTGTGACCATGGGCAAGAGTTGAGGCTGAAGGAGGAGGCCGAGAGAGCCTCTGTCCAGAGAGCCCCTGCCAAGGTGCTCCCCACCTCCCGGGGGAGGGAGAGGCCAAGCACCGACTGCACGAGGAGCAGGGACCAGCACAGGCCAGCGGGGAGACGCAGGACTGAGCAAACTGACCCCACGGGGGAATTCTGGTCCTAAAGCAGCACCTGTATGAGACCCCAGTGAGTCAGAGACCCCCACTCCTTCCAGATGGAGGACGCGAGCATCCCCGCTCCCTCCAGCACAATCAGCCTCAGCAAATTTCAACTGCCATGTGTTCTGCAGATCTCCTAATTAAATGAATCAATTAAGTAGAGTTCTTGGCCCAGAGATATAAAACCTGGGCCAGTGGGGATGGACCAAAAGGCATTCAGTGGATACGCTAGAAAAAACAGAGATGTTCAAGAGAGCTGGGCTGAGCCCCGGCTGCTCTGCCCAGGGTCGGCCCCACGGGAGGTGTCCCGGTGCCTCCCCACTGCACAACTCCCCTTTCAATTCCCAAAGGATGAGCTCTAGGTCTGGCTGGGACAGTGAAACCCTCCTGAGCGGGTCTGCAGCAGGCGCCGCGGAGGGGGGCTGGCATCCCACTCGCCTCTTTGGCCAGGCAGGGAGTGGGGGCTCCACGCTCTGCAGGGAAGTGGCTGTGTGGGCAGGAGGCAAAGCTTGCCGTGGGTCTGTACGTCCTTCCACCCCACCCCACCCCAGTGGCCCAGCGGGAGCTGCCCCAAGAGAAATGTAAGGCCGGCGAGTAACACAATTCCCTCCCCGACGAACAACCCATGTGAAAGTGCGCTGCGCTCTGCTCGAGATTTAATTTGATGTTCTAAAGTAGGTTAAATAACATCCACTGACCTACAATTAGAGCGACCCTGCCCAGGTGTTCCTGTTCTGAACAAACCTGCTCTGCGGCGACAGCTCTCGGCTCGGCCTTGCACCGTGGCTGACAAGCGGCTGCTATCGGCCAGCCCGGGGCCAGGGGCTCGGCCATGGCTGCCAGGACGGGGTTTGGGGGTAGGGCTGCCCTGCCATTGCCCCCCAAAGCGCAGCCAGCTGTGACCAAGTGGAGGCACGCCTGTCCCCTCAAGTCACAGTGCGTCACGTGCTCGGAGGACGTTGCCCTCCCTCCTATTCTCTTTCATCCCCTTAAAGCAGGAGAACAGTCAATGACTTCTGCGAGTGTCTGACGGCCCGGAGCTGGCAGCGACATGGGGCTGCCGAGTGCTGGGTGTCGGGTGGGGGGACTGCTGCTGAGCGACACCACCAGCTGCCTCCCGCTCTGTCCTTTACTCCTCAAATTACTCTTTTATTGCCTGGTTGTTGCCAGGCGTTAAAGCCACGGTGACCTTCCAGCCGTTGGACGGCTCCATCCCAGGGAGCGGCAGCAGCCATCCCCGTCCAGCCCTTTTGCCTCCCGCTGCCCTGCCAGCCCAGCCCCAGCATAAAACCCTCACCAGGGCACAAGGGAAGGTGCCTACCAAGAGCAAAATCAGCCCAGGGAGCGGCTCTCCAGGAGCAGGAGCAGGGGGTGCACCTCCCTCTCCGCCCAGTCAGTGAAGAGAAATGGTCAGGCAGGGAGAAGAAAGGGAGCTGATCCCCAGCCTCGAGGATGAAACCAATGGATGGGCGAGGGATGCAGGGAGGGGTGAGGGACAGAGGGATGGGGCGAGGCTCAAAGACGCAGATCAGAGCCAAGAGCAGCCGCCTGGCCAGCCTGCCTGAGCAGATGCAGGCAGCAGTCACCCCTGCCCTCCTCCCCCCTGCCTGGGATGGTGGCTGCTGCTGCACCCCCAGCCTGGCAGCCAGGGCATCTCCAGACTTCCCTGACAATCCCAAACCCTTTGCACCGAGCCACCATCCGGCCGTCCATGCTGTGAGCACGAAAACACTGGTCTCACCATCAGATCTTGCTGCTTTCCCCCCAGACACCCACCCTCAGACCCCGGCCCCAGGAACATGCTGCAGGATTTGGCAGCCAGTCCCAGTGCTGTGCTCCAGGGCTCCTGCCCGGCACACACATGTCTCAGCCCAGCCCGGCTGCGGCCGCTCGAGCAGGGAGCATGGGCAGCTCCCTGCCAGGGGCTCACCGGAGGCTGGGTAGCCTCCACCGCACCCTGAGGTCCTGCCTCCGCCCGCCACCAACCCAGAACCGGCTCAGCTCGGCCCCAAGTGAGCGTTAATAAGCTGTTTATCATCCAGGGAGGGAAAATGTTAACGTGAGCAGCAGCCCTACCCCTCACCCAGCCTGGGCAGATCCCTACAGTACGGCCTGGCCCTCTCCAGCAGCACCTGGGACCATTTTACACCCTGGCTTCCCCCACCGCCTCCAAGGCCAACACAGGCGTCTGCCTCGGGACCCGGTGACCCGCCAGCATGCCACCTCCTTCGGGTCTTCTCCAGAGACCAAACCCTCGTCTCCTCAGGGCAAGGCTGACGCCAACAGCAGCGAGAGCCACACAGGGGTCAGAGTACTTCTCCTTGAACTTTCCTTTGTGGCTCACAAATCAGTTACGAAACTCTAAAAATAACACGGAGCCCGCCCCAGTCCACCAAACCACTTCACTTAGCTCCAAAGGAGAAAATTATCTATGCCATTTTCCACCTACAGGTCACAAACTAATTCCCAGCCTGGCTGATTTGTGAGAGTTGCCAGCGAGCCAAGCGAGTTGTGCAAACACCCAAAGAGAGGGGAGAAGAGGCTGCCAGGAACCGGAGCCGAGTGGTGGCAGGGTGCCTTGCTGGGATCCTCTGCGCCCCACTTCCTCGGCTCACCCCACGGGAAAACCGAGTGGAACGGGGCCAGCCAAGGCTGAACTGCTCCAACGGACTGTGGGGCTGCTCCATCGTCCATCCTGCAGCACCCAGGGCACGACATCCCCCCTGTAGCCCAGCAAGAGGTCACAGCTCTTTGGCAGACACCCCCCGCATGGTCTCTGCCCCCCAAACCTCACAACACCACTGAGGGGGCTGGGTCCCAGGGCCTCCCGTCACCCTCCCAACTCTTTGGCTGCGGCGTTGGGACTCACGTGAAGGCAAAGAAGAGGGTGGTGGCTCCCACTAGGAAGATGGCAGCAGCTGAGACTGGGACGTATTTGCTGGGTTTGAATCTTTTTCCGGATGCTGCTGGCATGTTGGAGCTGTGGTGGGGGATCCGCCCCGCAGCATAGCCCAGGCCCAGCGGGACTCGGTGCGAGATGAGAAGGGGAGGGGAGAGGGACGGGGGCAAACTGCTACCCAGCCTCGGTGCTTGCTCCCAGGGCAGGCTCTGACCCGGGCCGACAGTCCGGAGAAGTCCAGGGCAGCCTCCGGGGCCCAGGAGAGGAGTCCAGCCTACACCCTGCCCCACAAGGGTTCGCAGGGAAGGAGGTTTAAAAACATTAAAAATTCAGAACAGAGAACGGGATTTGGCTTTAAAACTGCCAAGAGCCTTTACGAGCTTCCCTCAGTCAGGCAACAGCCCGCAGAAAGTGGGTCCCCCACGGCTGGTGGCAGCAGCCAGCTCCGAGGGAAGGGACGGCTCGGGGTGCCAGGAGAGGGGCTGGGCACACCTTCCCCCCAAGCCAGCACCCTGCGGGAGAGCAAGACACCGGGAAACTTCTTGCAAAAAAGCCACACCGGGAGTCTCAAGGAAGCCACTTCTCCTTTTTTAATCTGCCCTCTGCTGTGCTGCAGCCCCCTCCGGTCGCTGTGTGGGAAGAGGGGGGTTGTCTCGCAAGCAATCTGCTGTGCTTCCTCCTCCTCCTCCCCCTCGCTGGAGGGGGTCACAGAACACTCTCCCTGATTTCACTGGGATCCAGGACCGGCTGGCTGGTGGTGGCTGTTTAATTTTATTTATTTCTCTCTTGACTGTTAAAGCCGAGGAACAGCTGGTGCAAGGTTGAGCTGTAAATCCTTTCTTTGCAAGGGGGGCGGGAGGGGAAGGTCCAGCAGATTGTGTGTTTTCGTCCTCTTCCTACTTGCTCCTTTCTCCTGACTCCCCAGGCCTTTCCACAGGCTCAGTATCCACTCGGTGGTTGGGAATTGACAGGAATTTCATAAATCTTCTCTGCAGCAACCATTGCCAAGCAGCACAGGGTAGGTTAACGGAGAGGTCTGGAGGGGAGCTTTCAGGGAGTGCTTTTACAACCCCAGAAGACAGCTGATGGTGAAACCGGTGCTGAATGTGTCTGTCTTGCCCATGACCCGAGCGGTGTGGGGGAAGATCTCAGTTTGTTCCAAATGGCTCCATTTCTTCCTCCCCTTTCTTCGCTAAAATTTTTCTTCATTAATCCATTCGTCTTTTAAAAAACCTACATAAAATCATTAAAACGACATCTGGTACGCCACACCTCACCTAGAAAAATAAAAAATAAAAAATTAACAAGGCAAGAGAAGAGACACAGTCATGTAAAAATACTCACTGAAATGACACCGAGTGCCCCAGGACACAGAGCAGACGATTAGTGGAAGATGGAAACAGCGTCTGGTAGATTTAAAACCCTGTTGGCAAGTCCCCACCAGCAAGATGCCGATCTCCAGGCCCAGCTCTGACACAGACTGATGCCATAGCCCCAGGCCTATCCCCCAACATCCCTTTCCACATCTGCAAGGCAGGAGCAATGCCCACCCCACGGAGGCTGCGCTGAGCCAAGGGAGCCCAGCCGCAGCCCGCTGTCTCCCCTCCCACCCCCAGGCCCAGCAGCATCTGCTGCAGGGGAAGCCTAGCCACCTAACCCGCCTGAGACCACCTGGGAAATCCACATTGAGCCCCAAAAAAGATGAGGGACCCTGCGACTTCTTGCCCAGTTCCTTTCCGCAGTGACAGCTTGAGTCCAAACGCCTGCTGAGGGGAAGGGGCTGCTCAGAGGCTGGAGGCCGCAGGAGGAAGAGACAGCCAGGACCCCCGTCCCCTTCCCGGGGGGCAGGAGATGGGAGAGGCCCGCGGAAAACACCAGCCCCTCGACCAGAGGAGGCGCTTGCAGCTGCGGGCAAAGGAGGGCTGGGTTCCCACTAAGTAGCTCCAACTGTTTTTGTGTGCCCTGTGAACGTGCCACTTTGGCTGGTCACGAGGAGGTGGGAGGGAGCACCACGGGTTACAGAAAACCAAACCTTTCTGAATGTGGAAGGAGGAGACACCAACTCGCCCCAGACTCCAAATGCCCAAGAGCCCGTCAGGGACGAGCTACACACCGAGTCTATCGCACCGACTATTACAGCTACAGCATCGTTCCTGGTCTGTCACTCCTCCTCTGCTCCGCTGCCTCCCCATTTCGTGGCCAGGCCTCCCTTGCACTGCAGGTCCAAGGACAGCCCTATCGACTCCTTCACCTTCTCCTTCCAGTTTTCTCTTCTTCTGCCTCAAAGTTTTGTTCTTCAGGATGGACAGGCAAATATCTAGTGCTGACTAAACACTTGTGAAGGTTGGAGAACTGCGGCACAAAATTAAAGGCACATTTAATGACAAGAATATATTACAATTAAATCGGTTCAGTCACAAAACAAGGCGTCAGACACTCTGGCTGACTAATGAAGGAACCGCTCCCACTGCAGAGCGGCTCTTTCTTCGCAGAAACGAAGCTCAACTTCTCCAACCAAGTTTTTTTTTACCCTTGTGACCAAGAGGAAATGCTGGACTAGTGGCTATGTGGTGGCTGGGAAAAGCTCTGGTTTCACCTGGTAGCAGCTCTCAACCATGGTGAGTTTAAGAGTAATGCCAGAGAAAATGGTGGTTTTCTGCAGCAGCTCCCTGGCCATGCTCTACCCCCTGCCAGACACCGAGCTCCGAGGAGAGGAAGCACAAGCCCCAGCACTCACGATTTGGGGCAAAGCCTGACACCCCACAGAGATGAGCCCGGCCGTGCCACCACTGAGGGGGAAGCGCTCGTTGTCCGAGCTGGCTGCTGCTGAGGTCCGGGCGGACAGCAATTCTAGGGATAGGTTACTCGGAAGTTTAAAGATGACATCACTGCTAATTACTTTAGCAGAAGCAATCTGCTAACACGCTGGTCTGCTGTAACAGAACACCCCAGCCCTTTGAAACGCTCCGCTGTGAAAACAAAGCCACACCTCAAACTCAAACAGATACTGCCGAATTGGGAGTTTTTTCCTGTGATATTCCTCCCCCAGAGACCTTCTCCACCCCTCTCCTTGCACAGCGCAGTTGGTGTGTGCTCCTCCATCGGGTCCTGCCTCAGCTCCCACCTGGAGATGGGGTCGAGGGCTCCAGCCCCTCACACAGGGTGACCCGGCACACGGCGCCTTCGCAAAGGTTGGCGTGCCCCCTCGGCTCAGCGCAGAACACGCACCGGGCAGCACAGCAGCCAGCTCCTCATCGCATCAGGAACACATGAGTCGAGATAACTGCTCATGGGACAGTCTACCTGAATGAGCACCATGTGTGGGGGAGAAATCCCCAGCGCTGTCATTAGTAAGACGCAACACAAATATATTCCCTGGCTCCCTGCCGCCTGCGCCCAAGAACAACTCCACAACTCACCAAACCTCTAAAAGGCTGCGGAGCCCATCCCGCCCACCCCCCTGAGCCCCCACACAGCTCGGGGATGCCCCCCTCGAGCCCCACAGAGCTCCTCCAGCACCCGTCAGCCCTGCAGCTGAGGCCACCTGCCCCAGAAAGGCCCAGGCAGAAGGTGGCAGGGAGGCACAGCTGCTGCCCCCCCGAAGCACGGGACACCTGCGTGCCCTGGCCCCTGGTGCAGCTGGGAACAGAGCACAGCCAGGCCACGGCAGCTGGAGAGGGTGCAGCACAGGTAGGGCGTGCCGGGATCTCTGCTCTGCCAGCTCCAAGGCACCTTCTCCTCTCCGTGCTGAGCTCCGTGGCTTACCTCACCCTGACTGTCCTTGTCGTTTACCCTGGCGTGCAGGAGAAACCCAGGCAAAACCCACCAACTTCCCGCAGATTACGCTGATTTAGGCCACATTCACACCGATCCTCCCAAAACCATGCTTCCCTCCCCAGCCTTCCTCTTCTGCAGCCCTGCAACCTGTCTGCCTCCGGCCTATCAACCCCTTCTTTCCCTCTGCCCTCTTTCCAAACCCTTTGTCTCTCTGGCCACTCACACACTTCCCTGCTCAAAAGACTCCCCAGCTCGTCTCGCTCACCTGAGGTTTATATGGGCTCTGCTCCTGCCTCCGGCTCCTTTCCCTCTGCTGCTTCCAGACCAGCAACTCCTCCCTTCCAGCTTCTCCAGACCTGCCCCCGGCTCAGCCCTGCTCCGTCCTCCCCCAATCAGACTGAGCCTGTGTCACTGGTGACTCCCCTTTCCCTCTCCCTTGGGAATTCCACCTGTTTTTCCAATCCCAGCACCCCCTTTCCAGAGTATTTTCCCAGCTCTGCTCAGCCACCTCCGGAGCACTCCTCCCCAGTCTGAAGGGTTTGCCCCTGCTCATACAAGGAGCTGCTTCTATTTCCCCTCATCTCCACATCTGGGGACTTCCTTTAATTTTTAATTCCTTCCCTCCGGACATTTGCAAGTGTGACTGCTGCCACATTCCATTTCTTTCACTCTGAGTCTGCTCTTCTTCAGTTAAAGTCACACTCTAATTTCCTCTTCTTCCAGCACTTGTTTCTTGAAGCCCTGCGCTCCTCCTCTCCTTCCTACTGCGCTCTCCACCCTGCTTTGCTCCCGCTGCCACAAGCCCTCTTTTCTCACCATCTTCTCTAACATCTACCCAGATGTAGCCTGAAGAGTTGTGTGCTTTGTGGCTCAATCTTTCCGAAGCATCAGACAGGACACGAAAACATGCTTCACCAGGCTCTCCCCACCTTTGCTGGGTTGGGGAGAACACGTGTAACCAGCTCACAACATTCCCTTCCTTATTTCAGTCGCTGTTGATAACCACTGCAGCTCCTCGACGCGCTCCTACCCCTGGAAGGAGGAAACACGCACATGAACATTACAAGCTTCCCTTAAATGCGGCGCCTTTCATCACCGCCCGGGGACAGGAGCGCAATGGCACGGCAAGGAGAGAGTTCACTTTCCATTGCTGGTTCATAAACGCGCGTCGCTTCACCGCAGTCCACAGCTACCTACCTGCCCCAAAGCCACTGGGTTTTGCGGCGTGGGTCAGACAGACAAGCGATTCCTTCCACGTGAGGCAACTCCCAGGCGGGGCAGACCCAGCATGGCACACAGACAGGATACGCTTCACCTGTTCCCGCTGTGCTTTGATTAACTACGCTCGGGAGTCACGCAGAGGAGCCCGTTCCAGAGCTCGCTGCTGGCCTTGGCCTCTGCACCCCCAATCTCCCATCGCTGAGCCCAAGCAACAATGGCAGACTGAGTTCAAGGGTTCCCTTCTTCTCCCTCCACAGGCTCTCTGCTCTCATCTACTGCGGAGATTTAAGACTCTAAAAACCAGCAGAGAGAGCAAAAGTGTTCAAACCTGCCAGGTGGCAGCACAGCTGAATCAGAGCAAACATCCTGTGCTGCAGACCACCAGCACAAGACCCCTCTCTGCCACCCTCCCCGTCCTCCAGCATGGAGAGGTACCTCCAGATGGGAAACAGGCTCCAGCCAGCACCCCTCTGCTGCAAGGGGTGTCTGCAACCACAGGACCCAGCAAGAAGTCAAAGGATTTTTTTGAACCCAGAAAACAGGACTGGACACCAACTGCAAGGATGCAAGCTGAAAACTAAAAGGCTAAGCTGTCACGGAAAAAGTAAATGCAGAGACTCCCTCCACAACATGAAGCCCTGGAAGACAATTTTCTTATCGCCTGTGCCACGGTAATACGGAGCTCAGGCCTTGCTGTGCTCTGCACTGTACGTAAATAGGAGTCTCTGCCTCAAAGAGATGATTTGGTGACACCTCCCTGCTTTTAGTTCAAAAGGAGGATGCACAGCCACACGTAGCAGACACTTCTGCTCTGGGGGGAAGTTTGGAAGCCAGAAAAGGCCTCTGTGGCCATCCCCAGGCTTCAAGTGAAACGGTCTGCATCTCACAACTGTGCTCCTCCACAGAGAGACATACAGTTTTTTTAAGGAGAGTAAGATACAGAAAATGGACAAATATTTTACTGTAGACAACAGCTAGGAGGCTGGCATCCACTTGGTGCTTATCTCCTGGCCTGGCTTACACCACTCCCATCCTCCTTCCTCCACCCGTCTCGCTGGTTTACACAGGATTAGCCCCATTTTACGGGCAAAGCAGGGAAGAACATCTCATCCATGGCAGCCACGTCGTGGTGAGTGAGGAACAAATCCAGCCTCTTGCCTTTGCGTTACAAGACGCAACAGTTGGCAACGGAAACAACGGGCACAGCGACAGATGTAAACGTCAAACAGCCCTCTGACACAGGAGCTAAAGGTCTCCCCTTGGGCCGCGCCAGCTCCACCCAATTCCCACCTTCTCCATCTCCAGTCGAGGCTTGAACCTCAGAAACCAACAGGAATAAAGCGCTCTGCTAAAGAACAACCGCTGCCTCGGCCGGAGGTAGCGAAGGTGATAATTAGATTAAGGCTGCTAAGACGCTCTAAGATCAACTCTCCTGATCTAGGTAAGGCTCTAGTTGTATTTTATCCCCTCCTCCAAAAATCAGTAGCACCTAGTACAGAGAAGGCTGCTTCTCTAAACACCCAAATTCAGATCCGTGCCAGAGTGAAAGCCGGCCGGCCCGGGGGAAACCCCTCTCAGGGAGCCCCCAGGAAGGCGGCAGGAGGAAGGTGAGAGCAGTCGCGACCACCTCCAGAACCAGCGCCATGAACACGGGCAGAATGCCGGGGTTTTATCTCATCTCGGGGAGGTGTGACCAAACACACAGGTAAAATAAATTAGCATTTTCACACCTCATGTTTAGAATTTGGGACTTCTGAAAAGTCAGGTTGAACATCTGCCAACGAAATCCATTACACTGCCAAAACAAGGGAATACAACACACAAACGTGCTTTGAGGAATCAGGCTCTGCACATGTGGGACAGGGCTCTGTCCAGAGAGTGAGGTTTCAACTTCTGCTCCTTGTCAGGCCACAAGAGTCAAAGCGCATACGTTCAGACACCAGGCTTCCAAAAAACAAAGCTATTAAGATTTTGGCAGAGGTACCAGGGACAGTCCCAGGTACAGGCGAGCAAACGTGTTCACGTGAACGTTCCCTACGGGAGGCCAGGGCCATCTGGGCAGGAGGGAGCCGCATGCTGCCTGTCCCCGAGCCGGGCTGCGGGGAGGCAGCGGCGCTGGGAAGAGCCGCATCGGGGTACAGAAGGGAGCTCCGTCGGGGCGTGCTTACACCCCACTCGCAGGCAAGAGCGGCCCGTGCCCTCAGGCCCAGCCCTGCCCCACCGCCCCCGCCGCTCGCCCTCAGCTCTCCCCGGCCGGGGGCAACGTCCAGCCCTGCCCGGAGAGGCTCCCCGGAAGGGACGGGCGAAGGAGGGGGGTTTCGGCGAGGAGAAGGGGCCCGGCGGAGGAAGAGCGGGCAGGCGGCGGCAGGGGGAAGCGGAGCTGCCGTGCAGGAGGTGACGGTGCCGCTGGGCAGGGTCGGGCTACGGGCTGTCTCTT